GTCCCCTAGCCACCCATTTTCCCTTTTGGAGGCAAAGTTACTACCCTTTGTCCCCTAGCCACCCATTTTCCCTTTTGGAGGCAAAGTTACTACTTCCCTGGGTATTATTCTGGAAATTTGCTTGTGCCTGCAAAGACAGGCAAATATGTTTATTTATTTTTTAGAAAAAAATACAACAACATAACAACAACAGCAACAGCAGTTCCGTGGAAGGAAAACGGGGCATAAAGATTTATAGGTAGAATAAAAGTATATTCTCATCTCAGTCCTTTTCACTTAATTTATTATGAGGGTTTTTCCATATGGAAAAAAAAAATGCCCATATGGCACTTTCTTATTCTTTTTTGTGACTACATAGGATCTCATTGAGTGGATATGCTTTAATTTGTTTAATCAGTCCATTAGTGGACATTTAGGATTTTATCAGCCTTTTGTTATTATAAATAGTGGTATAATGAACATGTCATTTTGCTTATGGATGAGTTGGTTAAAAGGTGGAAAGCACATATAGTTTTGTCAGATCTTGTGATACTAGTTGTTGTTCTTGAGTCAAATCAATTACATCTGTGGAAAGAGGTGACAGAGAAGTTCAATATTATCACTAAAAACCAGGCCAGGAGCTGACTGTGGAACAGAACATCAATTGTTCATATGCAAGTTCAAGGTGAAGCTGAAGAAAATTAAAACAAAGCCAAAATATGACCTTGATTATATCCGACCTGAATTTAGAGACCATTTGAAGAATAGATTTGACACGTTGAACACCAGTGACCAAGACCAAATGAATTGTGGGATGACATCATGAAGATCACACATGAAGAAAGAAGAGGTCATTAAAAGACAGGAAAGAAAGAAAAGCTCAAAATGGATGTCAGAAGAGACTCTGAAACTTGCTCTTTAATGGAAAGTAGCTAAAGTGAATGGAATAAATGGTGAAATATAAGAACTGAACAAGAGATTTCAAAGGGTGGCTTAAGAAGACAAAGTAAAGTATTATAATGAAATGTACAATGACTTGGAGTTAGAAAACCAAAAGGGAAGAACATGGCTAGCATATCTCAAGCTGAAAGAACTAAAGAAAAAAATTCATATCTCAAATTGCAATATCGAAGGATTCTGTGGGCAAAATATTGAACGATGCAGGCATCAAAAGAAGATGGAAGTAATACACAAAGTCACTGTACCAAAAAGAATTGGTCAACATTCAGCCATTTCAGGAAGTATCATGTATATAATCAAGAATAAATGATAATGAAGGAAGAAGTGCAAGCTGCACTGAAGGAATTGGCTAAAGAAAACAAGGCTCCAGGAATTGATGGAGTACCCTTTGAGAGGTTTCAACAAATGGATGCTGCACTGGAGGCATGTACTCATCTGTGCTGAGAAATTTGGAAGACGGCTACCTGGTCAGCTGACTGGAAGAGATCCCTATTTGTGCCTATTCCAAGAAAGGCGATCCAACAGAATGTGAAAATTATTGAACAACATTAATAATACCACACGCAAGTAAAATTTTGCTGAAGATAATTTAAAAATGGCTGCAGCATGTCTTGACAGGGACCTTGCAGAAGTTCAATGCAGAAGACATGGGGGATATCACTGTTGATGTCAGATAGATCTTGGCTGAAAGCAAGAATACCAGAAAGATGTTTGTTGTTGTTGTTACTAGGTGCCGTTGAGTCGACTACAACTAATAGCATCCTGGTGTACAATAGAATGAAACACTACCTGGTTATGCGCCATCCTCACAATCCTTGTTATACTTGACTCCATCATTACAGCCACTGTGTCAATCCATCTTGTTGAGGGTTTTTCCCTTTTTTTAATGACCATCTACTGTACTAAGCATGATCTCTTTCTCCAGGTCCTGGTCTTGTCTGACAGTATGACCAAATTAGTTGAGATGAAGTCTGGCCTTTTGCTTTTAAGGAGCATTCTGGCTGTACTTCTTCCAGGACACATTTGTTTGCTCTTCTGGCAGTCCATGATATTTTCAGTATTCTTCACCAGCACCAAAATTCAAAGACATCAACTCTTCTTCAGTCTTCTTTATTCATTGTCTACCTTTCACATTCATATGAGGCTATTGAAAATACCATGGGTGGAGTTAGGTATACTTTAGTCTTCAGAGTGACATTTTTGCTCCTAAATACTTTAAAGAAGTCTTTTGCATCAGATTTACCCATCGTAATATGATGTCTGATGTCTCAACTGCTACTTTTATGGGTGTTGATTATGGATCCAAGTAAAACAAAATCCCTAACAACTGCAGACTTTTCTCCATTTATTGTGATGCTGCTTATTGGTCCAGTTGTGAGGATTTTTGTTTTCTTTCTCCATACTGAAGACTGTAGTCTTTGATCTTCATCAGAAAGTGCTTCAAGTCATCTTCACTTTCAGCAAGCAAGGTTGTGTCATCTGCATATAGCAGGTTGTTATTGAGTCTTCCTCTAATCCTGATGCCACGTTCTTCTTCATATTGTCCAGCCTCTTGGATTATTTGCTCAACATACAGATTGAATAAGTATGGTGAAAGGATATAACCCTGAGACATTCCCTTCCTGATTTTAAACCTTGCAATATCCCTTTGTTCTGTTCAAATGACAGCCTCTTAGTCTCTGTACAGATTCCTCATGAGCATAATTAAGTGTTCTGGAATTCCCATTCTTTGCAATGTAATCCATAATTTGTTATGATCCACACAGTTGAATGCCTTTGCATAGTCAATAAAACACAGTTAAATAGCTTTAGAGAAAAATAAGGGTTCCAGAACACTTATTAACTCATGTTTAGGAATGCTCTCAGGATACAGTTCTTCAATCAGAACAGTCTCCCCTCAGCCATGCCCTCAGGCTCTCTGGACTTTGGCCTCTCAGCCTGGCCTCTGCCCTAGTCAGACAAATGTTACAAAGCTCTTTTAGCTCTGCCAATAGGTATACCTGGGTGCACCCAACTCCTCCAGCAGGTCTCCTGCCCACAGGCACTCAGCTTTCTTACTCCATAAGCCTGCCACTCTGTCTTGTGCCTCTTGGTTCCTCAGCTACAGTTTTTCAGCTGTGCATCTCTGCCGAGGAAGTCCAGTGCAGGGATCTTGGGTCCAAAGACACGCTTCATTCCAACTCCAGCTTTTCTCTCTTGATGGCAATGAGAGTTCCCTTTTCTGCCTCTAAGAATGCTAATTTTAAGCCTAGCAGAATGACAAAACTAGCCAGTTTCCACATTAGAGTTCCATATACCTTATTTGCCTGGCTTTACCTGGTAATCTGTTAAGAGTCACAAAGACTGGCTAGAAAAGCCATACCAAGTAATTCACTGCACCACAGACTGCCATTTACATTATTGAAAAAAAGTGCTTGCAACAGGTAAGTCATTGGTCTTGCAAAATTCTATCATGCAACTTCTGGCATCATTTCTATTGCCAAAGCCATATTTTCAAACTATTGGTGATTCTTTGTTTCCACCTTTCACATTCCAATCACCAGTAATAATCAATACATCTTGATTGTATGTTTGGTCAATTTCAAACTGCAGGAGTTGGTAAAAATCTTCAGTTTCTTCATGTTTGACTTTAGTGGTTGGTATGTAAATTTGAATAATAGTAGTAGTAACTGGTCTTCCCTATAGGCATAAGGATATTATCTTATCACTGACAATATTGTACTTCAGCATAGATCTTGAAATGTTCTTTTTGATGATGAATGCAATACCATTCCTTGTCAATCTGTCATTCCCAGCATAGTAGAGCATGTGACTGGTTGATTCAAAATGGCCAATACCAGTCCATTTCAGCTCACTAATGCCTACGATATCAATCTTTACACATTCCATTTCATTTTTGACAATTTTCCAGTTTCCTAGATTCATACTTCATTACTTCCATTTTCTGATTGTTAATGAATGTTTACAGCTGTTTCTTCCCATTTTGAGTCATGCCCCATCAGCAAATGAAGGTCCTGACACTTTTACTGCATCCACCTTATAAAGGTCGACTCTACTTTGGGGAGGCAGCTCTTCCCTAGTTGTATTTTGAGTGCCTTCCAACCTGAGGGGCTCACCTTCTAGCACTGTATCAGATAATATTTCACTAGTATTCATAAGGTTTTCAGTGGCCAATTTTTTCAGAAGTGAATGGCCCCATTCTTCTCAGTCTGTGTTAATCTGGACGCTATGGAGGCAGAAACAGTTTACTCTTCACTATTACGTAACACTATGCGTTCTAGCCAACCAGTGTGTTCGCAAGCTTTCTGGTAAGTTTAATTAGCATTTCTCTTATTATGCGTAAGGTTGAGCATTTTTCATGTGTTTAAAGAAGTATTTGTGTTTCCTTTTGTATGATTGTCCATATCCTTAGCCTGTTTTTCTACTGTTTTGTTTGTTTTCCTTACTGATTTGTACGATTTTTTTCCAACATATTAGGGATACTAAGTCTGTACCTGTAATATGAGTTACAAACAACTGATGGTTTGTTGTTGCTGTTTTTTTTTTGTTTGTTTGTTTTTAAACTCAGTTTGGGGAAAGACTTGGCTGAACAATAGGGCCACGAGAAACTGCCTCATGAACTTCACTTATACAGAACCAAGACATCTATATAAGATTTTTGAGATGTTATTAACTAAGCTCTTTAGAGTTTAGGAACTCTGGTAGCGTAATGCCTAAAGCACTTGACTGCTAACCAGAAAGCTGGCGGTTCAAACCCACCAGCCACTCCTCGGAAGGAAGGTTGGGCAATCTACTTCCGTGGTGATACTGCCTTGGAAACCCAAGGAGGGGTTGCTATGAGTCAGGTCCTACTCAGTGGCAAATAACAACAACAACAACTTTAGAGTTTTTCTTAAGACCATATTAAGCAGTTTTCTTTCGTAGCATTCTTTTTAGTAACTTCTCGGGAGCTTATTCATTTTTTTGTGGTAGTGGGAAAAATGCAGCATTTAAACTATCATGTTTGTGGGACTGATTGTGTCCATGAGATTGACCCTGGTTATGTCTTACAGGTTGGAAGAATGTCTGCTGGATATTCTCCAACATATGACAAGGACAATCATGTTCTTCCCACTTTCAGAGGAATTCCTGTATGTTGTTCCTGTATCTCCTTCCAATGTTTTCTTCCAGTACAAACTTTTGTTGTGCACTGCTGCATGGTGCCAGCCACTGTGCTATAAGCACTGGGCGACACAGGCTGTCATAGATCCTGCCATTCAGGAGCTCATACTTTGGGAGAGGGAGCAGGGTGTGGGACATAAACACGCAGAAACAACCTCTGCATGGTAAGGCAATTGCTGTAACAAAGCAGAGTAAAGTACAGTGGAAATACCAGTACCAACTCACTTGTGTAAATTTTGTGTGTTTATTATTCAAGGAGGGCATGCACTTGTCCCTCACATTGCCTGACCATTGTATGATAATGGGAGTTCTCCAAGTACCTCATTTTAAGCTGCTTTTAATAACGCATCAGAGCAGACTAGATCTTTCTGGCCTCCATTTCAAGGGGCATTCAGTACAGTAGGTGATTGGGTGGATGTGAGGGCTGTGGATTCTACCCTCACACTAAAGCTCAGCTGTTCCTACAGATCTCAGAGTTGAAGAACCATGGCATCCTCCAGGCCCTGACAACAAAAGTGAATGGATGGGAGGCAGATGGTAAGGTCCCCTTCAGGGGCCTGGGAGTCTGGGTGGGACCTAAGTCAGACCTTCTTATGGATCTGCTTTTCTTCATTAGAATTTCTCTTCTCTTTGTCCTGAATTCTGTAGATTTATCATTCCTCAAGAAAATTAGAATCAATACTGATTAGGAGTCAAACACCTGAGTTCTAAGTCTCTGCTTGTGACCTACTATGTGCAAGTACATCCTTTTGGCAAGTCATGTCATCTCTATTTCTACAGTGGAGATATTAATACCTCCATTACCCCAAAGAGATGTTATGAAAATGAAATGAGACAGTATATGTGAAAAGGTTTTGAAAACGTATCCTGCTTTTTCTGCGTTTCATGGCACTTTCCTATACTATGGGAGCTCTGACAGCAATGAGTTCCTATCCTGTATTTAAAGCTCATTCCACTTGCTAATTTATTACAGAGAAATGCACTCTCACCAGTTAGAAGTCCAGTTCTAGAGTCAAATACCCCTGGTTTATATCCTGGCTCTGTAACCCACCAGCTATATGACCTCGAGCAAATTACTTAACTTTTCTAACCCTCACTTCATCTATAAAACAGAGATAATTTCGGAACGTGTTATAGGAATTTGTAAAGGTTAAGTGACATAATGTAAATGAAGTACTTGGCACATAAACTGTAAATGTAATGAAGGCTCATTAGTATTGCTAGTTGTCTTTAATTTCTACAAACTAATAAGGTAACATATACAAATATAATGCTTTTTAAAAATGTTCTAAAGTACAAAAATAATTTGGAGTTCTATGAAGTTTCTTTTAGTATAACTTTGTTCTTATTATATCATGAGACAAACCAACATTTATTAAAGTTACGTTAAATACTAAGATGTTTTATATTTGAATACAACGGACATTTATGTACCAGAGACTTAATTTATGAAACAATTTTAAATTTTTTTTTCAGATTTCTCTTGGCTAATTTAAATCAATAAAAACACTAGTTGCCAAGACCATGTATACGGTTGGCAGATAATGGTCCTATAAATGTATTTGTATGATCTGTAAGAATTTCCAGCTGTATAGTAGAGCTGACAAGGGACAAGGTTGGAGTCACTTCTTGGTCACAGCCAGCTATCCAGAGAGACTGAGTAGTTGAACCGGTGGACTCGGGACCATAGTCACAGGGGACATTAAGCTCAATTGGCATAACATACTACACAAAACATTGTTCTACCTCCTACTTTGGTGATTAGCGACTGGGATCTTAAAAGATTGCAAGCAGCCATCTAGATGCAATGATGGGTCTCTTCTCATCCAGAGCAAAGAAGAATGAAGAAAACCAAAGATGCATGGAAACAATTAGTCCAAGGGACTGGTACACCATGCGATTCTCAGCCTATACGACTACGAGACCAGAAGAACTAGATGGTGTCTGGCTACCGCTGTCAACCACTTGGAGGGGGATCTATGTAGGAGATCCTGGATAGAAAGGGAGAACAATGTGGAACAAAACTCAAAATCATTTGAAAAAAAAAAGTGGGGGACCAGGTTTGCTGGTCCTATAGAGCCTAGTGGAACCACTGAGACTATGGCCCCCAGCTGCCCTTAAGGTCTGGAATTGAGCCCACACCTGTGGCTTCCAGCCAAACAAAAGACAGACATATGAGTTGAACATTTACCTGAGGTAGACACACTCCTTGGAGAGAACAATCGTGGGAGAAAGAAGGGCTGTTTATGCACAGGGAGACAGCTCAGGGGGCAGGAGTGCATGGAGTGATGGACACAGGGAAGAGGTAACTATGAGGAGGAAGTAAGAGGGGAGCTGTTGCATTGGGGTAAATTGTAGTCAGTGTCATGAGACAAAGTGTAAGTGGGAAGTTAATTTGCTCTGTAAATTTTCACCCAAATCACAATTAATAATAATAAAAAAAACATGAGTTGCCATTGAGTCAGTTCTGACTCACACTGGCCCCCTTGTGTGTCAGAATAGACCTGTGCTCCATAGGCATTTTCAGTGGCTGATTTTTTTTGGAAATAGATCACCAGGCCTTTCGTCCAAGTTGCCTTTGGTTGGACCTTAAACCTTTAAGCTCATTAACCATTTACACCCCACAGGGACTCCCATTTAAATTAATAGGCTGACTAAAGCACCAATGCTGCATTCCTGTGAGTAAATCAAATGGAGCCCAAATAAATGAGGCAGTTAAAACAGGATAAAAGATAAAGAATCATACTAATGTTAGCTGTGTTTATTATCCTGAGAATTTGACCTTTCTTCTCATGTTGTTTTGGTAGTCAGGGGAGAATAGTATTTATGTCAGGATCCTCTTCAGAAGTAGAAGGAGCCTACTTGGTTCTAAGAGAAAAGGAAAGGGAAGCTCTTGTACAGTTTAGGCATTTGTCCAATTTTTAGGCACCAGATGGATATCGCTAGTTGAGACCTATACTTTCTGTTGACTAACCTACTGTGATAGCAAACCTTACTGGGGAGGTTTCTTCTCTGGCTCTCAGTCTTTGATCAAGTTTGTAGAAGAGGTATGAGGGGTTCAATGTTGATCATGTTCCTGAGGATTTGAAAGGGTATAGATGAGGATTTGAAGAGTGAAGAATCAATAAAGCCACTTTGTCCCTTCTTTTTATCTCCAAAGGCTCCAGCATATTTTATATTCTTTACTGTATTCCGTGGGGTTATATACCTTGGAAACCCTGAGGCTCCATGTCTGCTACCCCACCCCAGCATTTGGGGCTGGCAAGATTGAATTATCTAGAGATTTACATATTCACAACCTCTGGACCCACCTCACCTGCTCCAACTGTCCTCTGCCCTGCTGTGCCCGAGCGCATGGCTGTGTCAATAATAATAGCCAACATTTCTTGAGCACTTACCTTTGTGCCACATACTCTTCCAAGTGTAGAATTACCTCATCCTCAGCTATCCCCTGAGGGATTACAGATGACTAAATTGCCCAAAGAAATACAGCTAGTAAGTGGTGGAAGTGAAAAACAGAAGCAGGCAGTTTAGTTCTAGGGTGTGCTTTTAACAACCCTCTTTGACTTCTTTCAATCCACTTTCTCTTATTCATTATCAATTAGTGTTCAGAGTTCTTGGTAGTTTTGTTTTTTTTTTTTTTAAGTAGCCAAGTATATTCTCAAAATAGTTTATTGTCATGTGACTTTCTCAGCCAAAATAGTGAGACAGAGAAGAGCTGTCCTAAACTACTTTTACCATTATAGCTGGAGAGACCAATTTTTGGTATTACACTGAAATGTCTCTATTCTTCACTTTGTTGATGTCCACTATAGAAAATCCAATAGCAGGACATGCCATTAGTAATTCGGGCTAGAGAGTAATAGCTTTGGGTGGGTGGTGGCTATAGACAGCCTATCCTGCTGCTTTTTCCCCCGTCTTACTGTGCTTTCAACAGAACTGGATGGCTAAAATGGTTGGCATTGGGCTGCCAACTGAAGGGTTGGTGGTTCAAGTCCACCAAGAGGCACCTCAGAAGAAAGGCCTGGTGATCTACTTCTGAAAAACCAGTCACTGAAAACTGACTGTTTCAGTTTTACTCTGAAACACATGAATCTTTATGAGTCAGAATCAACTCGAGGCAACTAGTTTGTTTTTTGGTATTGTGCTTTTATTCATCAAACATTTGTTGAGCACCTATCATGTGTCAGGCACTGTGCTAGGTTCTAGAGAACTTGCCCTCGGGTAGCCCGCAGTCTAGTGGGAGAGATCATTACAACACTGTATGATAAGCACTGGGTCTCGGGGTCTCTCAGGAGTGGCTTCTGGTTCAGACTGATGAGGTTACAGATGCCATCCAGTGAAGGTGATATCAGAGTTAACCAAAGGCTGAGAAGGGGATACACCATCAGGGGTTGGAAGTGAAGGTGAGAGTACTTAATGTACTGACTTGGCAGTGAGGGGAGCGCAGCCTGTGCAAATGTATCTGGAGTGTTTGAACTAACTTCCGCTAGTTCTGTATAGGCCGAGGGCAAAGCTAGAGAGGCAAGAAGGATCTAGATTGTAAAGGTACTTAAGTGCTGTGCTAAAGGGTATGGATTTTACCTTGAAGGTGATGGAAAATCCCTGGATGATGTTGAGAAGAAAGTGACATCAGATCTGCCTTTTGTTAGCTCATCTGGCAGCTGTGTGAAGGGGGGATTGGAAGTCAAGCAGATGAGGTTGGAATCTATTACAGTGGCACCGACATACCTGGATTTCAAGGTTTCCTTTTCTCACTATTGCAGTTGTAAATACAGAGGTGCTCAGAGCCCAAGAAGAATGGGAAGCTGTGGACAGTATCCAGCCAGACCAAGGTAACTGTAGGGACAGCTCCACCTTCATGCAGCCCTGCTGCTAGCAACTGCACCATCCTCATGTGTAGCTGACATTTCTGTGACTCTGGGATTAGGAGACAATTCCAGTGTTCCCATTTTAGATGTGTGACATAGAATAAGATGTGCTGTTGTTGTTGTTGTTATGTGCTGTTAAGTCAGACCTGACTCATAGCGACCCCTCTTTGGGTTTCTGAGGCAGTATCACTACAGAAGTAGATTACCCCATCTTCCTTTGAAGTAGTGGCTGGGGGGTTTGAACCACCAGCCTTCTGGTTAGCAGTCAAGTACCTTAGGCACTACACTACCAGAGCTCCCGTAGAATAAAATAGCCTTTTGAAATCCAAAAATGATGACATTCTGCCTCTGCAGGAAATGGGAATGAATGCTGTCAGGAAAGCTATTCCCACTCAGTCCTGAGAGAGGACATAGATGGAGTCAGCCTATGTAGCGTGATGAGATTGAGCAGGGCTGGAGGCAGGCAGCCAGGGCACTGCAGAAGGTTGAGCAGGTTGTTCACTGCAGAAGGATATCCCTGAGGCTGGGATCCAAAACCATTGGCTAGAAGTCTCTGAGGCCTGGGTGCAAATGGTGTCACATCCCTTTGTAAGAGAGGTTTCCATGGAACTGTAAGAGAGTAAAAGTAGGATCCATATGTATGTAGCCTGAGCTCCACTTCTGGAGAGATATTCCAGTGAGTTTATCGGCTATTACCTGTATTGCTAACTGATAACAAAGGATGAGGAGGGGGTCATATACAGGTGGTAGAAGAAGCAAAGTAGAAATTAGGAAAGGTTCCTAAGCTAACACACTCCTAAGCTAGCACACTTCTATGTGGGTATCTACTCCAGACAGTGACTTGCCCCCTCACAGGGCATGAGCATGAGCTCCCTACAGAGATCCAGCTAGCAAGCTTCTGAGCAGCCTAGTCCAAAAAATGATAATGCCAGACTGTCAAAAGAGGATTGGTTGTGGCTGTAGCTGTCAGATGATTGCAGTCTGAAGCCAGTGCTTGGATTGGAGATGACAATCAGAAGGCCCTCAGTAAATGTTGCTGACAGAACGGGTACTGTTACAAATCCTGCAGTGCCTTCTCTTTTGCCACAGGGAGCCAGGCCATTTCAGACCAGCCTGGGCAACTCATCTCCTTCAGTGAGGCCCTGCAGCATTTCCAGACTGTCGACCTCTCCTCCTTGAAGGTATGACCATAGGAAGGATTGGGATCACAAGCAAATCAACTTCTTCATGGGAGCCAGGTTTCTACCCTACCAGGATAGGGCATTGAGCAGGCAGGATGGAAACTTGAGGACCCTGCCCTACCTAAGAATCTTGGGGCACAGGATCATGGTAGCCAAGGACCCATGCCTTGTGCTGTACCCATGTGGCCTGTCTTGGACTGTACCCATAGAGATCCTGTGGCCCTGTCATACAAGGGTCTATGTAGCTGTTTCCCTACTCTTCATTCTTCCCTCTTAGGGATGAAGAAGTCTGGGGTCAAATGCTAGGTCATTCCTTGGCGGGGAAGCAAGACAACCTGTCCAGGGAACTGGATGATTTCTGGCCAATACAGGAAAATCTACCATTCCCTAAAAGAACCAGAAGCTGTGTAGAGTTGGGAAAAGAAGAAATATTGGGGAGAATAAAAGATCAGGGGGCTTTTATCACTCATCTTGAGTGACCAGTAGTAAGTTTAGGAGAATGCAATTTCAGATTTTTAGTGTAAAACTTTACTGAAGAGAGAGACTGAAAAGACAGGAATGAGGTTAGCGTGTAGGATCCTGAGCACCAGATGCTACCAAAATCAGAATATTCCAAGGTCATGACAGTGGCCCTAAGCCACCAGAAGCCAGCATAACCTGGCTCAGAAGTGCTGATTATGCTCCACAGAGTTATGGAGCTCTACTTATCTCCCCACTAAACTCCCCTTCCCACTGGCTCCCTCATCCTAGAAGTTGAGGGGGCTGCTCGATTTTGTGATTTATGTCCTTACAGAGAGACAGATAGAGAAGGGCAAAAGCAGCCTTATTGGGAAACCTGGCCTGGCTTTTATCTGACCACGTATGGGGCTTCTCTACAGCTTGGCATCTCTAGCCACTAAACCAGTTGCTGTGGAGTCAGTTCCCACTCATGGTGACCCCATGTGTTTTGGAGTAGAACTGTGCTCCATAGGGTTTTTCATGGGTTGATATTTCAGAAGTAGATTGCCAGGCCTTTCTTCCTAGGTACATCTGGGTGGACTCAAACCTCCAACCTTTCAGTTAGCAGTTGAGCATGTTAACTCTTTGCACTACCCAGGATCTACCCTGGCCTTAGTGGTAGTCTGGAACAGCTAGTTCTTGGAAAGCCCAAAGGACTAAATGCAGAGAACTGGTTTGTAATGCCTGGGCTGGAGGACATCTCTTTCTCCTTACAAAGAACCTGAGAGCTGGAAGAGCCTGTCTCCAGAGACTCAACATGTATTCAGCACAGCTTCTGCCCCTTTTTCTTGGCCCAGAGACCAGCCACTTGGTGGCAAATTCTGCTTTCCACAAGAACTGCCCCATCTGTGGGGTCAATGGTAAGTTCATTATGGCAGGTGAACCCAGCACTCTGTCCATTGCGTCCAACTTCCTCCCCAGAAAAGAATTCAGCCAACCATTCGAAGGACTGGGCTCGCTGCCCTCCGGCACATCCTCTTCGGTCCTCCAAAGCTCCACCAGTGCCTTCATGAAGAAAGGGACTTGATCCTGACCATTGCTCAGTGTGAGTGCCAGCCCCAGCCCAGCCCGGGTGCTGCCACAGGGCAGGTGCTGTATGTGTACTGTATAGAGCACTGTTTGCTTACCCTGGTGCTGAGGCTATGCCAGGGGTGTTGCATGTACTGTGTTGAGGGGGAAGAGAGCAGGAGCTGAGGGGTCCAAATGTGGGAGAATGAAGTGTCTTGAGCACAGTTCAGATCCATCTTGGCTGTACCATCCTCTGACAAGCATTTAGACCTCCACTAGTGGGCAGTCTGACTGAGGGTGTGGATGTTTTTGGGGCAGGTGGCCTGGATTGCCAAGACCCAGTGCATGGCCGAATCCTCCAAACCATCTACAGGAAGCTAACCGGCTCCAAGTTTGACTGTGCCCTCCATGGAGACCACTGGGAAGATTTGGGCTTTCAGGGTGAGAGAGAGGAATGGTTCATCTTTTTCTTGACCCTATTTCTAGGACTAGGCTGAGAAGTTAGCTAGTACTCTTCCAGCCAGGCCAGTACCTTGAGATGGGATACTCGTGGGAAAGCATTCCAGGAAGAGGGTACAACAAATGCAAAGGTCCTGAAATGGAACATACTTGCTCTGCTTGAGAAATTGCAAGGAATGTAGCTGAAGTGGAATAACAAAAAACAGAGTGATGGGAGAAAAAAATACTCATGAGCTTGCAGGCCATTGTGAAACACTGACTCTGAGTGAGATGAGAAACCATTGAAGAGATACAGTTTGGAACCTAGGATTTCTTTTCCCTCTTTTTTGTCAATATTGGTGAAATTTTTATTTTTTAAGTGAAACAAAATTATTTTAACTCTTCCTTGATTGCGCTACTTTTATTTGTTCAAAATCATTTCAAATTACGTTAATATAAAATAGGAAACTATTCATTAATTAGTAGTCATTTGGTATTGATGTTTAACTCCCTGTGCTCTTCCCCCTTCTATAATATACTTGTGTTAAATATTTTCTCTATATACATGGAGAATCGACATCAGACAATGTTATTGATTCTTATTTAGCCATCAAAGATAATTTTACAAATCCAACAGAAGGAAGGTCTTGTTAGTTACCCTGTATACACTTTCTGTTGTTCTTCCTTCTTGATATTCTAAGACTCTTGTCATCATTTTATTTCCATTTCAAGAACTTCTTTGTGTGGTAAAAATTTATAAAAAATAATTTGTGCTCAATTCAGCAGCATATATACTAAAATTGGAACAATACAGAGAAGATTAGCATAACCCCTGCACAAGGATGACATGCAAATTCATGAAGTGTACTATATTAAAAAAAAAAAAAAAAAAAGGCAATTCAACATTTTTTACATGTATAATTCAGTGACATTAAGTTCCTCCTGTTGTGCCACCATTACCACTCTCCTTTTCCAAATTATTCTACTACCATTAGCAGAAACTCAGTATCAAGAACTTTTTTTAGCCAGCTTCACAGGATAGGTCTGCTAGTGATAAATTTTCTTAGTTTTCCTTCATCAGAATGTCCTGATTTCTCCTTCATTCATGAGAGATAGTTTCACTGGATATTAACTTCCAGGTTGATAAATCTTTTTTTTCAGCGTTGCAAACTGTGTTGTATTTCTTCCTTCTGGCCTCCATGGGTTGTGATGAGAAATTTCCTCTCAACTGAATGATTTCTCCCTTACAAGGAGGTGTTGTTTTTCTCCCTCTGGTTTCAAGCTCTTTTGTCTTTAGTTTTCACGAGTTTGACTGTCATGTGTCTTTACATGGATTTCTTTGGATTTATTCTGCTTGGGGTTAGCTAAGCTTCTTGACTTTAGGTTTATATCTTCTCCCAAATTTGGGCAGTTTGCAGCCATTATTTCCCTAAGTGCTTTTTTCAGCCCCACCCTCCTTCTCCTCTCCCGTAGGACCCCAATGGCATGGATTCTAGATCTTTTGTTACTGTCCTACAGATCCATTTTGTTTTTTACCCCCCTTTGTCTCTTTGTTTAAAGTGGATAATTTCTGTTGTATCTTCAAAATCATTGATTCTTTCCTCTGTTATCTCTGCTCTGCTGTTGAATTCACCTAGTGAGTTTTTCATTTTAAATTTTCAGTTCTAAAGTTTCCATTAGGCTCTTCTTTATATCTTCTACTTATTTGCTTAAATTTTCTGTTTATTTGCTGAAACTTTCTATTTTTTCATTTGTTTCAAATTCCGTTGTAATTACCCATTGAAACATTTTTATTCTAGCTATTATATTTGTTTTCAGTTGGTGCTATAACAAATTAACCTAAACTTGGTGGTTTCAAACAACACAGATTTATTATCTTACACTTCTGGGTGTCTGAAGTCCAATACATGTCTCACTAGGCTAAAGGCAAGGTGTCAGCAAGCCTGCATTCTTTCTGGAGGCTCTAGGAAAGAATCTGTTTCCTTGCCTTTTTCAGCTTCTAGCGGCTGCCTGCATCCTTGGTTTGGGGCCCTTTGGTCCATCTTTAAAACCGGCAACATGGCATCTTTCTAACCCTGCTTCCATCCTTATGTCTGTTTTTCTGACTCTGTGGTTCTTCCTCCTTCCACTTTTAAGTACCCTTCTGAATACATTGAGCCCACCCACAAACAGTTCAGGATAATCTCCTTGTCTTCTGACAAAAAAAAAAAAAAAAAACCACCACCAAATCCATTACCATTGAATCGATTCCAACTCATAGCAACCCTATAGGACAGAGTAGAACTGCCCCAATAGCAGCCAAGGCTGTAAATATTAACAGAGGCAGACTGCAGCAGGAAGTCAGCCTGGGCTTCTTATGCCACAGACATCTTCCCAGTCAGGTCCTAGAAGCTCAAGGGAGCAGAGACTTCAGTAAACATTGCTCACTGCCCTACTCCAGTTTCCTTGTTTCTGTTCCAGGACCAAATCCAGCTACAGACCTGAGAGGAGCAGGCTTCCTTGCCCTCCTGCACCTGCTCTACCTGGTGATGGACTCCAAGACTTTGCTGATGGCACAGGAGATTTTCCGACTATCTCAACACCATATCCAGGTATGGCTTTGTTGGGAAGCCAGAGGGGAGGTCTGTGGAGCTAGTACCTGAGCTGCAGAACTTTTATGAGCCAGTGAAGAAGGCCTGACAGGGAAATAGTTCTAATTGCTGAGGGCTCTTGGGACAGCTAAACAGCCAATCCCATCATTCTGACCTAGGTTGGAATCTGAGCTCATCCACTTACTAGCTGCATGTTTCAAGTAAGGTCCTCAACTTCTCAGAGCCTTTGTTTCCTCCTAAGTAGAATGGAGATAATAGAAACTTCAGGTGGGTTATTGGGAAAATTAAATGAGATAATGTGCAAAAGCACTTAGCACACTTGCTCATCTTCTCTCAACTCACTGTCCTCCCTGAGGAAATCCTTTGCACCATGTTGGTAGCCCTCCTGACCCTCGGATGGAGAATTAGCCTTTATTTGTTCAAGAGAAGATTTACCTGGGGTTAGGTGACACAGATTTACTAACAAACCAGAGTCTGTTTTCTGCAGCCCCTCAACTTCCATTCCCAGTCTGCTCTCTGGAGTTGGTTGGATGGTTTTCCCAGGTAGCAAAAGGTGATAGTCCCTCTCCTATAGAAAACACATTTAACCTGTTTGCCTGCTATTTGTCTATCCCAGACCCATGGACCTGGAATTCATTCATTTACTGAAATCTCTGATCAAATTCAGCATCTCCTGTGCTAGGTACTGTTCTTGGTACGTGAGATAAATCAGTGAACAAAATAGAGAAAGATCTTGCTGTTGTGGCACTTACCTTCGAGCAGAGAAGACAATAAGGTTATTAAGTAAACTATATAGTGTGTTAGAAGGTGGTAAGTGCTAAGGAAAAAAGACAAGTAGGGCAGGGTTAGCAGAATGGGGATTAGGGTATTTATAATAAAGGGCGGTCAGCGTAACTCTTGTGAGAAGATGAGATTTAAACCAAGCCTTGAGGGGTAGGAATGTCATCAAGGTGCTATCTGGGGAAAGAGCATTCCAGGCAGAGGAAACAGCTGGGACAAATTGCCTAACAAGCATGTCTGCATGTTCAAGGATGCCAGGAAGCCAGTGGGAACAGAAGAAGCACAAGGAGGGTAGTAGAGAGGAGGTTATGGAGGCAACAGGGCAGAGGGCCTTGTGGGCCATGGTAAGGCTTAGATTTTACTCTGAGTAAGATGAGGACCTATGGCAGGATTTTGAACAGCCGAGTGACATGATCTGGCTTACATTTTAAAATGGATGATAGCAGCATCTAGATTGAAAGTAGTCTAAGTTGAAAAGTAAGGACTTTTACAATAATCCAAGCTAGAGATCATGATGGTTCAGATCTGAGTATTCTCAGAGGAAGTGGAGAAAAGTGATCAGAGTCAAGGTTTAGAATCTCAAGCCAATAGGCTTAAGATAATAGAACTAGCAATTTTTCCTGATGAATTAGATGTGGGTTTAAGAATATGAAAGAAGTCAATGATGATTTTTAGTCTGAGCAACTGGAAAGATAGTTGCCATTAACCAAAATGCAAAGACAGAGTAAGTTTGGGGGTTCAGTTTTGGCATGTAAATTTTGAGAAGGCTGGTGGTTCAAACCTACCAGCTACTCCTTGGAAGGAAGGTTGGGCAATCTACTTCCATAGTGATACTGCCTCGGAAACCCAAGGAGGGGTCGCTATGAGTTGGATCCAACTCCATAGCAGTGAGTTTGGTTTGGTTTGGATAAGACTTTCAAGTGCAGATGTTGGGTAAGCAATTGATAGATAAGTATAGCATCAAGGAGAAAGGTCTAGACTAGAGATTAAAATTTAGGAATTGTCAGTGTATAGGTCACTGGCTCTAAAGGTGTAGTCCCTGGCCAGCAGCATCAATATCACCTGGGAACTTGTTAAAAATGCATGTTCTTGAGCCCCCTTTAGGTCTCTAGACTGAGAAAGAGCAGCCAGGGCTCAGAAATCTGTATTTTAACAAACGCTCCTGGGGATTCTGAGAGCCACTGACACCGATTCAGTTTCATGAAACTGGAATGAGATTGCTAAGGGAATGAGTGTAGAAGAAAAGAAGACCAAGGACTGAGCCCTAACACCCTCCAACATTAACAGAATATGGAGAAGAGGGGGAGAGACATTAGGAAACCAAGAGAGAGTGGAGCTCTGGAAGCCAAATGAAAAAGTAGTAAGGAAGAAATGATCAGCTATCTCGTGTTGCAGCTAATGATGGAGTATCAGGTCTGATAATTACTGGATTTGTCACTGGCAGCCCTTGATGGGAACATTTTCAATGGAATGGTAGAGACAGAAGCCCCTGATTTAGTTGGGTTTAAGAGGGAGTAGAAGGAGAGAATTAGAGATAGTAAGTATAAACAACTTTTCAAGGAGTTTTGTTGCAAAGAGGAACAGAGAAATGGGGTGAGCCAGGACAAGAACAGATAAATGCACACCCATGTTCATCGCAGCACTATTTATAATTGCAAAAAGATGGAAACAACCTAGGTGTCCATCAACAGAAGAATGAATAACCAAACTATGGTACATACATACAATGGAATACTACACAATGCTAAAGAATAAGGTAGAATCTACAAAACACTGCATAATGTGGATGGACTTGGAGGACATTATGCTGAGTGAAGTAAGTCAATCACAGAAGAACAAGTACTGCATTAGTGTGTTACTGT